GTCGTTATGAACGGCATGTTACAATTTCAAATAAACCATATGCGAAAATGTCAAAAGTTGACAAATCCAGAGTGTCATTTTCTATCGAATAAAGCAAAAATATTCTGAGGGTGCCATTTAAAAATTATCAAAAGTTGTAGTCATTTCCGGTGAAACAGGAAGTGACCAAAAACAATTGAATACGACAATCAATCCTAATTTATATCATACACTAACATGCCAAATCTTATTTTTTTATCTGAAAAATTAAAAAAATTATAGGGGCGAGCCACTTTTGAGACGCACCCGGTATATACATATACACTTGCGTGCATAGAAATCGGCCCAAGGCAAACTTTTGAAATTAACTGTATATTTTTTATGACCTATTTGTCAGATTAAGAAAAAATACATGCTGTTTGAAAGACAATTTCATATTCTTTAAAAAGAGTTTAGAGATATTAATTTGTATTTTGTGGTTTCTTTGGATTAAAATTATTAAATTAATGCATGAAACAAATTATCGTTTTTTATACCCCTCTTGCTCTAACAACATCTCTCATACAATTTGGCATAGATTCGATCAAATTTGATATTGTTTCTTGTGGGATGTTAAGCCACTCTTCCTCTACTGCAACAATGAGCTCTGGGATAGAAGTTGGGGCTCTTCGTCTAGTACGAATTCTTCGTTTTAGCTCATCCCATATATGTTCTATCGGGTTTAAGTCTGGACTGCATGCTGGCCATTCCATAACCCGAAATCCGACTTCTGAAATGTAATCGTGTACGATTCTTGATGTGTGTGTCCTCGCATTATCATGCATAAATGTGAATTCGTTTCTAATGTAGTCGACGTAAGGTACCACATGAACTGCTAAAAACTCCTCAATATACCTAGCACCAGTTAAACCTCCTCTTCCGTACCGACGGTCGCCCCAACAGATGAAAACTGGGTCGGTTCCCGCAGTTATAGAAATTACATCCCAGATCATGCAGGAACCACCTCCATAAGCAATCCGCTCCTCAATGCAGCATCTGCGAATCGCTCACCTGGCCTCCGGTACACTTTTCTTCTTTGGTCGCTACCATAGAGGCATATCCTGGTCTCATCTGAGAATAAAATAGATTCCCATTGTGTTCTAGTGTTTAATTCAGATGTTCTAGTTCAAAACGCAAGCGTGCTTGACGATGAGCTGGGGTAAGTTTTGGACCAATTGCGGGTGTTTTGGGGGTCATGTTACTTTCCTTCAATCTTCGTCTTACTGTCCACTGACTAATAGTCACTCCTCGTGTTTCACGGAGCTGTTGCTGCACCTGAATAGCATTAAGACGCCGATTTCTTAACATTGTTGACACAATAAAGCGGTTATCACGATCCGTTGTATATCTCTTTCTACCAGTTCCAGATCGACTACGAAAGGATCGAGTCTCCTCATATCGGTCACACACTCTTCGAACCGCTCCGCGTGTCATATGTAGTTGGCGAGCTACAGCTCTCTGTTTAAGTCCATTTTCGATTAAAGCGATTATTTGCGCGGCTTTTTCCGGTGATGTATGCATTAAATTGAAACACTAATCAAACAATGACACAACTAATCAAAGAATAAAAGAACAATGTGAAAATTTCGATTACAAAAGTAGTAATTGCAATATTTGACAAGTTTGTTATTCTTATTGTCACCACAACACATAATAATACCTTTTATTTGTTTACCCGTTGGTACGCATATAAACGATAAGTACCCTGGATAAATTTATGCTCCTATTAAAGCATGTCAAATTGTCTTTGAAACAGCTCATATTTTTTACTTGTCTGATAAATAGATTCTAAAAGACACAGTTAAAACCAAAAGTTCACAGTGGGCCGATTTCTATGCACGTAAGTTTATTTATCTTCTATAGGTTAATCTGATTAACTATGTTAAGAAAACCTGGATTGAAAGAAAAACAATTTCTTCACTTCTGAGGAAGTCAGTGAATTTTGTGTTTAAAAAGTGGATTGTTGGTGGATTATGGAAAATTACTGGATGACCACTTAAGGTACGTTAGCATTTGCCTGGTTTAGCATTGTTACTTGTTCGGTTTTAATTTAAAAAAAAATCGAAAATTGTTCAAATTTGGTTCAAATGTTTCCAACAACGATACACCAACCTAAAATCAACAACACACATGCTAGAAACAATCACACAAAAACAAACATCAAGAAAAAAAAGACAATAATTAAACAAAATCCAATAAAAATAAAAACTTAAAAGTTTATGTGTTTTTTAATTGACTTTAAAGTCTTTATAGATAAATAAAAACATACAGAATCAAGACCCTCAAGGTTTTTATTGCATTTTTAACGGTTATAGTAATAAAGAAATCAAACAATATTGTATTCTATAATTAGATATTAATATGAAGAAGCCATTTTGATGTAAAAATAAAGTGAAGAAAAAACGCATAAAACAAAATGGCTATTGGCAATTAAAAATTGCCTACTTAGAGAGTGTAAAAATATCTCCAAGACATGGTAATTTTACGCTTGGGCAATTTGAATGAAGAATACTATAAAACCAGAATGAGGGAAGCCATTTTAGCAAGAGTTAATACCCATGGCTAAATATGCTAATAGTTGGCAATTATTATTTGCTACCATAATATGTAAAAAATTAAAAAATTATCGACGTTATTATTTTTCATTGTTGAGTGTTTCTCAAGCTGGTCCCATCGTAATATTCACAATAATTTGTACTTATTTAATAAGATTTAATAATTTCTTTTCTATATCATTTATAATTTTTTTTTTTAACTTTTTTAGAAGAAGAAAAGAAGAAAAAAACACATTTATTTCTAAAAACTACCCTTCATAAAACAGGTGATAATAAAAATATATGAAAAACAGTAAAATTTGGCGGTTTTTACGAAATAATTCAAAAGTTTAAAAGAGCGTCTTCATAGCTTCACTACCGACGCCTAAGTGAGACGCCGATAATTAAAAAACGACGCCGGAGCGTCTAGTTTAAAGCGTCGCCACATAGATGGCGTAAGGTGTCTTATTTTCCTTTTATTCGATTTAAAAATATTCGTTTATACAATATTTTTATTCGTTTAAGGTCTACAACTATCGATACAGAATATTTGTTGCTTTTGTTGATTGATTTATTGCTTAAGCTTTATAGAAACGAGTTGTTTAATTAAAATAATTATAATTTAGAATTAATTCGTATTACAAAAAGTGTTCAGATTTAAACATAGAATATTTTTAAGAGGTATTTTTAGTGAATTTGAAGTAGTTTTGCAAAGATTAAATTATTCAAAACTTATTGAATTAGTTTTAAAGATTGGTAAATTTAAATTACTACGATATAATACAGTAGGGAAATTATGAAATACTTTTGTAATATCCTGTGTTAATAAAAACTGTGATGGTATTGAAAAAAGACGAAAATATGTCCATTTTTCAATAAAAAATTTTGACATTTTCAAAGCTTTTTCATGTTTACACATCTCATATAGAATTATGAAAATATCAAAATTTATAGGAAATTTTATGTAGTTTGAGAATATATACACCTATCATGTCTTAGATATCTTGATTTTGAGAGAAAATAATTTTTTTGAAACCTTGTTTTTGAGCTATTTTTTTAAATGCCCAATTTGTGAATATTTTTTTTATACATTTTCAAAGGCCTTAGAAAAATAGTAAACATAGTCGTAAAATTATAAAAATATCAGGATTTGTAGGAAATTTTATGTAGATTCAGAATATATACACCTTTCATGTCTTAGATATGTTGATTTTGTGAGAAAATTAATTTTTTGAGCCCTTGTTTTTGAGCTATTTTTTTTAATTGTCCAATTTTTGAATATTTTTTTATACAATTTCAAAGGCCTTAGAAAAATAGTAAACAAAGTTATAAAATTATGAAAATACCAGAATTTGTAGGAAATTTTATTTAGATTCAGAATATGTACACCTCTGAAGGCTTAGGTACCTTGGTTTTGTAAGAAAATTTATTTTTTGAACATTTGAACATTTGCATGCCCAATTTTTGAACATTTTTTTACAAATTTTCAAAGGCCTTAGAAAAATAGTTAACATAGTCATAAAAATATGAAAATATCAGGATTTGTAGGAAATTTTATATAGATTTGGAATATATAGACTTTTGAATAACCATTTTCCAAAATTTTCCCAGAACAAAAAAGTGACATCACTCAACTCAAGTCATATTTAAGCAACACAGGAAGCTACAAGCTATTTCAATAATTCCTCTCATCGATTTTTAACAAAAATATATTTTATTTATATTTATTAAACAAATATTAACTTAAAATCTTTACCTAAACTCTTTAATCCAAAAAAAAACCGTGATATAACGTCATTTTCAGGCCGGTTACACAAATAGTAGCGTTTAAATTTGACAATTATCTCTAACCTGTCATTATTCATGCCAAATTTACCAAAAAAAATCTCTTAATTATAGCCGGTCATCACCCTACGTCAGGTACACACCATACGGCAAACACGCACTTCATGGTACCTTTAAGACGGTACCATGTGTGGATAAAACGTTTACAGAAAGGGTAAATTTTAATTTCCTTTTGTTTTCTATTCATATTTTACATATACTAATAATGAATTAGTTACTTTTAAAAGGCTAATAACATAACTCTTTGTTATTATCTTCGAGTATATATACGTATTCTTATAATGAGTGTATCTAATTTTTTGTGTTACAAATTAATGTTTTGAGAGATAAATTAATATAAATAATAATAAATCAAAATATAATACAAAAATAAAACTAACAAATTAGGTTGAAACAATGTATTGAATAAAAAACTTCACTGCATGGACCTGGCAAGAATATACTGTGAAAAATAATGTTATAACTGTCATAACAGTGGCGGAACATGTTCAATACTTTAGGGGTTCACAATTTAACAAAAAAAAGTTACATTTTAGAAAAAGTACACACCATACAATCACTACACCAATCTACACACCTAAAAAAACTATAAAAATACCCTACCTGTAACTCGCTAACTAATTTTTCTGTCATTAGTTTGTCGGGACTGTTCGATCCGCTGCCAAACGGTTGGCCCATCATGTTATGCTGACCAAAGGGATGACCATGGCCTGATTGAGGCGTTGGACTGCTCATGTGGCTGGGGTTTGGACTGCCCAGTTGTGGGTTTTGGTTGGAATTTTGAGGTGGACCTTGACCGTTGGCCTGTGGACCAGGAGCCCCACCCATTTGACCATCGGGAAAACAAGAAACTCCTGGAAAAAAAAATAAAAATCATGTACTTTTTAATCTTAAATAAATTTTGATCTAGTAGGCCCATTTTGATGATTTTTTAAGCAATTTGTAGCTAAATTACTGCTCTTTTAAACACTATTTTCAGAATTAAACTCCCTATCTGTCTATTATACGAGGGAAAACATAATGTTCTTATTTTGGCAAAAGTTTGAAACACTCTGTGGAACGGATTGATAAAGTTTAATAAATTTTGATCTAGTGAGCCGATTTTGATGATTTTTAAGCAATTTGTAGCTAAATGATTGGTCTTTTTAACCCTACTTTCAGAATAAAAATTAAACTCCCCATCTGTCTATTATACGGGGGAAAATATAATGTTCTTATTTTGACGAAAGTTTCAAACGCCCTGTGGAACAGATTGATCAAGTAAGGGCCTTAAAGATCACTTTTTCATCAAGATGTAACTTTTTTCTATAGTTTGTTTTTTTATTCTTCACGATATCTTTATTTTTATGGGATATATTTGCTTTTGAAGCAGACTGTAACAAAATACGGCAATTTTGGCAATTAAAAAATTCAATTAAAAAAATCATATACTTTAAATATAAATAAATTTTGTTCTAGTGGGCCAATTTTGATGATTTTTTTAAGCAAATTGTAGCTAAATTATTAGTCTTTTTAACCTTATTTTCAAATTAAAAATTAAATTCACCATCTGTATATTATACGAGGGAAAACATAATGTTGTTATTTCGGAGAAAGTTTGAGACACCCTGTGGAACGTTTTAATACAGTAAGGGATATAAAGACCACTTTGTCATCAAGATGCATCTTTTTTCTATAGTTTTATTTTTGATTCATCACGATAACTTAATTTTTATATGAGATATTTAGCTTTTCAAGTAGATTGTAACAAAATACGGCAATTTTAGCAATTAAAAAACTCAATTAGGAAAAATCGTGTACTTTAAACTTAAATAAATTTTGTTCTAGTGGGCCGATTTTCATGATTTTTTAAGCAATTTCAAGCTAAATTATTGGTCTTTTTAATCCTACTTTCAGAATAAAAATTAAACTCCCCGTCTGTCTATTATACAAGGGAAAACATAATGTTTTTATTTTGGCGAAAGTTTGAAACGCCCTGTGGAACGAATTGATAAAGCATGGGACTTAAAGACCACAGTATCATCAAGATGTATCTTTTTTCTATAGTTTGTTTTTTGATTCATCACGATATCTTTATTTTTATGGGAGATATTTGCTTTTGAAGTAGACTGTAATTTTAGCAATTAAAAAAAAACATTTACTTAGCTCATTGAAATTACTAATATAATAATTTTAATTAAACAAAACGAAATTTTTCTTACCCGTAGGTGTGAGCTGAGGCCCCTGTACATTATTCTGTGCGTTCTGCTGCTGTTGTTGCTGCTGCGCGTTCTGTTGCCCGCCTTGCTGCGCGTGATTCTGACTATTCGGCCCTTGCTGCTGCGCGTTCATCGCGTTCTGCTGGCCCGGATTAGCCTGGTTCTGCGCAGCCGCAGCATTCTGAGCCGCCGCGCTGTTCTGAGCCTGTTGCAAAGCCAACGCTCCCGGCGTTATAACGTGAATCTGACTCGAATTCGATTGCTGAGACGGCGAATGCGCTGGCATCGAGTTAGTACTCCCCGGAACCGGAGAGTTCTGATTGGAATTGCTAAGGTTCTGAGGCATGTTCTGAGGCGGACCTCGAGCCTGGTTCCAGAAGTCATTGTTCATCTTGAAAACGGGTCGGTTGTTGACTTCAGTCATCTGAGGACTTTGTATCTGCAAGGGTTGCAGTGGGGTAGACCTTAGATCCAGAGCTGCATTCTCTTGGAGTTTAAAAGAGTTTTGCAACCATTTTGCTACTAGGTTCTCATGTTCGACTTTGAGGTTGTTGAGAATGTTCTGTTCCTCCGTGGTGAAAATTTTGGCTGATATTTTCCGGACTGGTTACGTGAAATAGTGATTGCCGTGAATAGCGTTCACAGCAACGTGCGTGGAAGAACAGCGTGAACGATTTTTCCCCAAAAAATTGTTAGTATCGATTCTTTGAGATATGGCAAGTGGCAAAAACGTCGCGGTTTGACGTTTTTGTATGGTCGTATTGGATTTGTTTTGTAGGAACTTTAGTTTTCGGTAGTAGACGGTAGAAAAGGTTGGTTGATGAGTCTGTCCTTTTCTGCGTGTCTGGTTTCTGGATTGGATCTGAAATAAAGCAATTATAAGTAAAAAAAATAAAAAAATAACTTAAAATAAAAAAAAACATTTAATTTACATAACATATGCGTATATTAGAGAATATTCTTTTAGTTTATCTAAATTTAAACAAACTACCATACGATCGAAAACAAAACGGCGTCAAAGACGGCTGGGGATTGACAATCGATTATAATTTTGCGAGGTCAATCTCTAGATGTTATGTACTGGGCCCCTACTGTTCTTCATTTTTTAAATGAGGCTTAAGAAGGTTGTAATATATTTTTATACTCAGTAAAAATGATTTTTAAATGGTGTAGGTAGTTTAAAATTCGAGAAAACATAACTTCTTTTAACTCTTTTAATCTTTCTATAATTAGTATTAATTTTTGACAAGTTTTATGTCGATTTTTAATAAATGACGTCTATAGAGATTGGCCTCGTCAAAATTACCACCGATTGTCATTTCCCAGCCGTCTTTGACGCCGTTTTTTTTCGATCGGACGGTATATGACACGTAAGTTATTTGTGTTTAATTGAAATATACAGTATTTTACTTCGAAGTGTTATCTATAACAGAGATTATTCTAGATATTGATAATGCAGATGATTTTAATCATTTTAACAGAACCTCAGCGGTTTTTAATGGACGTATTTACTAAAAAACAACTAAAATGATCTTGAATAGTTATATTCACACACTTTAAATAGTTTTTTTACTATTTTCTTTTTGATATATGTTTCTGACGACAGAAGATGTACCTCCTGAAACGTTAAACTATTTTGTCTGTAAACCGCTGACGAACTGGTTTAAAAAAACCATTTTTTGAAACTGGTACAATTTTTTTTGAAACTGGTACAAAAAATATTTTTTTTTGAAATTGGTACAAAAAATAATTTTATGAAACTGGTACAATTTTTTTAAATTTAATTCTATATTTTTCTAGCAGTGGCTAAATACCCCCGGTGTTTTCGAGAAATGAACCCACCAAATAGGTATAGAAGTAATTAATAAAACACAGTTCTCTGAGTTTCTAAAGTAGTAAATAATAGATTAAAAAAACATTAACAAAGAACTTGATAATACATTTGTATTAAGTATAAGTTTTATTAAAGTTTAAAACAGTTAAAATCAGGAAATAAACAAAATTTCAACAAAAATATTAATTTAATTATTAATCTTTATTTTTGGTATTTTAGTTAGTGGTCTTCTTTTTACTATAATTTTTTTTTTGTTTCAGTCTATTTTTAAACAATATAGAGTATTGAAAAAATCACAAAAATCTTGATATAAATAATAAATTCAAAATAAGTAAAACTGCTTAATAAAATATAATATATAAACCAAGCTACATTACTTTTCTCAATTAAATATTTAGAAAAAAAATATATTACTGTATCTTCAATAAAACTATTAACGATATTATATTAGCACATATTTAGTTTTATTATTTATAATTATTTATATTTCAAAAAAAATCCAGATTTCATTAAAATACTTGGTTGAAATTTCCATCAAAATGAAAAATTTTTGGCAAAGTTAACATGTCTTGTTATAAGTTTACAAAATATATTTAGAGATGTCAAGTTAATTTAATAACATAGTAACTGAAATATGCTGTACAAAAGTTTAGGTATGTGAATTTGATTAATTAATTGTAATTGTTTTAATATTATAACCTTACTCATTGACAAAATAAGTTTAGAATATAATATTTAAAAAAGTATTTTCAAAGAGTTTTGAATGTATTTTAGTAAGGATATGTGTTTTTTTACTAATTATAAAAAGTAATTTTTCCCGAAAATATAGTTAAAAATAGTTGTTATATATGTATTTATTTTAAGGTTTTAAGATCTGATGTATACTCAAAAATTTTTATTTAGCTACAAAGTCTTATTTATTAACGATAAAAAAATGAAAAATTAAAATAATTATTTTATTGAAAGTGACTCAAACTAAATATTATACATAATTTATTAATATTTGACTGAAATTAAATTTATGTTTTATTTTTCTTCAATGTTTTCGTAAATATTTTAAAAATTATTAAAGAATAAAATAGATCTATAAGTCCATAACATATTTTAAGAACCTATAATTTTTATCTATAATTATTTCATAAAAAAATTAAAAAGTAGACTTCAAAATTGAGAAAATGGAATTCAAAAAAATAAAATATTTGTTGATTTATTTACATCAAATTTTCAAGTAAAAAGATAGATTTAATTTCTAACTTTTTGAGAAAAATCTCCAAATATTTTCTGGTAGTTTTTAACCAATATTATGAAAGTTATAATTGAGAGAATTAAAACATAATTAAACTAGTTTGAAAAAATTACAGTACCAAACGAATAATTTTTATAAAAAATTAAATAAAGATACATAGTTTTAAAAACCAGATTTTATAAAATTATTTTTGTATGTTTACTTTTGTGGAAACTTTAGTAAGTTATAACCCATGGTTTACAGTGTTTTCAAGGATATTTTAAGTGTTTAAGGATAATTATAAAATTGTTTTTTGTATTGTTTACCGTTATTTTACACTTTAAATACCCTCGAAAACACTCTGTACAAAAACGTAAACAATTATAAACTACTCACATGACTTAAAATGAGTTTAAACAACAACTGGAAACAGGTACTCAACAAATATATTGCACAAGAGTAGAGAAGATTAACCAAAACTTCCCTTAAGTCGCTGTGTATAGCGCACCAAAAAGTTCCAACAGTTATTTCGCGCACCAAAAAATTTATTTAAAACTTTTTTCCGAAAAAAACTGCCCGTTTAGTATACAGAGAGAGATAGAAAAAATTAAATGATTACTTAACACTGCTTAAGAAAATTCTTCGAAGGTCTTACAGAAAAGATATGAAATTTTCCCGGAAAATTTCCACGGTGCGGCGTCGGTATTCGCGTCGTTCCTTCAAGAAGCGTCGCCGATAACTAAGACAGCGTCGCGACGCCTAAAGACACGAAAGACTACCATCTCCTGAATTTACCCGTCGAATACTAAGAATATACGCGCTCGCTAACATCTCCCCCGACAAACAGAGACGGCCTTATCCAAGAACAACGTTCGCGACAAGGAAGCATGACGCGTCTGAAGAGAGAAACCCTTATACGATCTTCTAATATTTCCAAGAGAGAACATCTAAGGGATGCAACGAAGACAACGCTACGCAAGACGCGCGTACCGAAGCGAGAGCGGAGATCCTTAGACCAGAATCTTGAAGCCATCGCGCATGAGCGTGGTTTAAGGAACGACTCCGCGCTCTCCCACTCCGCTTAAAAAGTGTAAAAGGGGGTCGGAAAAAATCAAGACGCGCGTTTTTTTCAAAGCGGGGCATCCCCTCCTAAAAGAGGGGGTGCCGTGTGGGAGGAGGGGTAGGAAAGAAAGTAGGGGGTGGTCTGGAGTGGATGTAGGGGTGAGAGCGATGCCAGCGCTGGCTGGCGAAGAACTAGGACGTTGTGACGTATTAAATGCTGACCATCGCCGTTCTGTTGGTGTGTGATGTGTGTTTGGTTTTTGTTGCGTGTAGTATTCGTGTCTTGTCTTTTAATGTACGAGTTGTGAATGAATGTATTTTTGTGTGTGTTGTTTTTGTTAGTGTGATTTGTAGTATGGTACGTTTTGAAGATAGTTATTAAATAATTAAATTTTATTTATAGTTATTTTTTCAGTTATGATTTCTGTAGTTTTGGAGATACATTTATTAGGTCTCATTATTATTAAATAAAATAAATTATTATTATAAGTGATAAAAAACATAGCTGTGTTTAGTTAATTATTATTACTTTATACTTTTCAATGTATGCGTAAATAGTGTGTATTTTTTAAGAACGATTTCTTTTTATTTTATTTATAGGTTGTTCATTTATTTATAAGTTTATTGTTCAGTTTTCTATTCTGATTTCTTTGTTTTTTTAGATATTTTTGATAATGATAAGAAATGTTTGGGTCTCTATATTAAAAGTGATTAACGGTTATTGTGATTTGTTTGGAATGTTTTCGTATGTTTTACAATAATAAAGTAAAATCGTATTTTTATATTTTACTTTCTTTTTTTATTGTGATTTTTTTTTGCTTGGCTTGTTTTTTAGATAGATTGAACAATGATAGATTTTTTTCCAATAAGAATTAATTATAAATTAATTCTTATTAATTACTAATACTATATATTATTATTTATTAATAAATTATTATTCTTTTTTTTCTAACTTTGTGTAACTCTATGTATGTATGTTCATTAAATGGTAGGTAATAATTTTTATGTCTCTATATCATATTGTTTTACACTTTTCAATATATGAGTAAATAGTGTGCATTTTTTAAGAACGATTTCTTTTTATTTTATTTATAGATTATTCTTAAGTTTTCTATTCTGATTTCCTTGTTTTTTTAGATATTTTTGATAATGATAAGAAATGTTTGGGTCTCTATATTAAAAGTGATTAACGGTTATTGTGATTTGTTTGGAATGTTCTCGTATGTTTTACAATAATCAAGTAAAATCGTATTTTTACATTTTAATTTCTTTTTTTATTGTGATTTTTATTTGCTTGGCTCGTTTTCTAGATAGTTTTAATAATGTTTTGATATTTATTAATAATAATTATTATTTTCTTTGTAACTTTGTGTAACTCTATGTATGTATGTTCATTAAACGGTAGGTAATAATTTTTATGTCTCTATATCATTATTTTACACTTTTCAATGCGTGAATGAACGGTGGGTATTTTTTGCACAGAAAATATCTAATCACAGTGTGAACTGTGAGCGTGATTTTAAGGATAATTTCTGTGATGATTGGTTTTATATTATAACTTGGCTATACCCTTATATTTTGCAGATATCTACAATAATTGTTATTTTCATAAAAAGAATTATATGTGTTAAAAATAAATTTATATTATCAGTTTTTGTATGTTTTTTTTTTGTTTTTCTATAGTTAGGTAGTCTATAATTAGTATTATTAGTTAGTAACACTCTGGCTCTATATTAATATAATATTCAAACTCTTTGACTGACTAATAACAACATAACAATTTTAATTATATTTTTTTAATTAATCGAATTTGTGTATTAAATTTTTGAAAAAAAATGGTATAAATGAATATATTATTAGTAATCTCATAAAATATTAATAATGGTCCAAAATAAATGAATTTTACAGGAGATATATAAAATTTAATGCATTTTTAGAATATGCTTAGTATTGAAAGAAAATATTGTAAACTTTAAATGTAGCCCGAGATTTAAAAAATCTTTTCACAAATCTGACTAGAGCTTCTGATTTATTATAAATACCGTTAAAAAAAATATTAATAAAGTCTTGAAACAACTGAAACTATACTTGTCGTATGCAGAATTTTATATTCTTTCAGGATATGTCTTGCATTGATCTGAAATGTTAGTAATTTTAAGGCAGTTCTAGGGAGAGGCAACCCTATTTACAGGAATCTTCACTAAAACTATTTGAAACAATACGAATATTCATTTTGCTTAAAATAATAATAATACTTGTCCAAATTAACTGAATTGTGGAGGAAATATATAAAATTTATTTATTATTATTTTTTATTTTAACCAATAATTAGAATCCTTTTTGTTCTTTGAATTATTGGTGCATTTTCATAGAAAATTCTCGAAACAAGTTCCTTTACTAAATTTCCCGAGTTATTTTCTTATTTTTTGTCATTTCAGTGGCGAAAACATACCCAGATTTTCCTTGAAACTTCATACTCACTCGAAATAAAATATTTATTACGTTTTTTATTAACTGTCTCTGGCACTAAAAATAAAATAATTTCAAATAAATGCCGCAGATGTATTTTTGAATCATGATAATACTTAGTGCGATTTTATGTATGTTCTGGACCAATTTTTTCAGTTTTTTCAGTTCCTTTTGGCATTTGCCGCGATTTTAATATATTTTTAGTTTGTGGAACTTTGAGCCATTGCCAAGAAAAATGTTGAAAGCGGCAGATTTCAGCATTAAGACATTGTTTTAAAGTTCTCCATCGTTCTGGTCTCATTAGATCAAAGAAGACAGTGTTTTTCAGATATATACAAAGATTTCGAAGAGATTTACCCATTGTATGCACTAACCAACTATATACAAGACGAGTCCTAAATAAGCGCACATATTTTTAAAGGTTACAGGTATATTTCGATCCCAGGAGCGCAGGAAAAAATCGAAAAATTCTTACTAAAGTTTGATTCAAATCCTCGAAATTAGTGGTATCAGTTAGCGTAGAATTTGTTTGTCTAATTTCAATATTAAACTTTTTAATTCTCTAATTCTAATTTCAATTTTAAACTTTTAAGCTTCGTTTAGAATCTCGCAATTAGTGGTTTCAAGTACACTTTATACTTTTTAATTTACGATCATTCAAATTGTTTAAAAAACAGAATTAAAATCAACAGAGTATCCTAGCAACAGCTTGCATTAGTCAGTTATGTCTTGTCAACTGCCATCCTACTATGGATGCAAGCTGTTGCTAGGATATTCTAGTAATTTTTATTGTATTTTTTTAGACATTGTAAATGATCGTAAACTAAATAATAAAAATAAAAAATATTTCATATATATCTAAAAATTTAAATCTAAATTTTAAGCTTCTAAAACTGTCTACTAACTCAATTAAACGGTTTACCTAAGCCTACTACGCTCCACAACAAAAATATACCGCTATATCCCCACTCCACTTTATTCTAAACCGACCAAAGATAAAAATTCCCCACCCACACTACAGCATTTTTCTTAAATCCCTCCTTTATAAAAATAGCCCGGCCTTTTTTTCCCGGCCTATTATGATACCGAGGGTCCGTTGGTTACTCTTTTTTAAAGAGAACCATCCTATTATTATAATACCACCCCTCGTTTTTAGGGGTGCGTTTGTTAGACTACCTGGTAATGTACGGTATGCGTCACAAGCTGGTAGGGTAAATGGTGAGACCTTGCCTAGAGGGTATATTTAATTTTCTGGTGGAGGAAATAATTCATTTTGTAGTATTTGTGTTTGATTTAGTTAATTGTGTAGTAAATTGTTGAAAAATAGTTATGTTTTATACAAGACGATAAATTGGTATTTTATAAATCGGACCTTTTTAAAGATATAATTTTATTTTTCAGAAACTATTTGAGACAGAGTTTACCAAAAATACTTTTTATATCTACTAGTGGGTAAATGAATTTGTAGATATATTACGACTTTTCTTGGAACTTTAGTTTCGGAGATATTAATTTAATCGGACCTTTTTAAGAAAATTAATTTTATTTTTCAGAAACTATTTGAGACAGAGTTTACCAAAAATGCTTTTTATATCTACTAGTGGGTAAATGAATTTCTAGATATATTACGAATTTTTTTGGAACTTTAGTTTCGGAGATATAAATTTAATCGGACCTTTTTAAAAAAATTAATTTTATTTTTCAGAAACTATTAGAGACAGAGTTTACCAAAAATGTATAAATGTATTTTATGATCGACCGAAAAGATTAATTCACGAGCGTTAAAAAAAATTAACTGTGGATTAAGCTGACTAGTTTTACTTTATTTTTATTTAAAATTGTTTTTATAAATACATAAATTGAATTAAAGTAAATAATTAATATTGTCAAAGTATATTGAATTCTAGCATGTTAACGAGGTAAAAGTATGATCAAAATTTACCGCGACCATATCTGAAATGTCAAGATCTTTCCTTCAAAAAAGTTCTGGTCTAAATCACCTATTACTAATAGTAACAAATCCCACATAATAAAATTAATGATGTGGAAACATTGCAATGTGTACAGACACTTTTTTTTGAATACTTATAAACCTACAAATCAATTATTATGAATTCAGACAAAAATATTGGTTAAATGCGTAATATTTGTGCTTGTTCGTATTTCAGTACGTAATTTTAATTGATACATTCATTAAGTCTTCTAACTAAGTGACTTCCAACGTTGAATGCATGATTCCACGACCTTATGGATGTATTGTGTCTCCCTTTCTTCAGTTTTAACCCATTATACATTCTCAGGATTTTGAAAAAGCCAGTATCTGAGACGGTTTTCACGAAATCTGTAATAATAACTAAAAACATATTTTTTGTTACGTGCGAAAGATTTTCTAGCGGTCGAAATCAAACTCTTCTAAAAAAGTAGTGATGCTATATCCTAATGTTCTTTTTAGAATTTAGATGAGTGTGTGTTACATACATATGTTTAAATAACGAATATTATGGATGAATGGTCAATCACTTCGACCTTACAGATCCATTGTGTCCCCCTTTCTTGAATCATAATCTCATCATACAGTCCCAGGGCTTTGACAAAGCCAGTATCTGGGACGGTTTTATAGAGGGTAGTTCTCCATCTCAATATCAGTGAGTACCAAAATTCGCTGGCACGAATGGTTGTCGTCTCGGCGCACTCAGTGATGAGGTGTACTGGTGTTTCCACCATCTTCCCCACAGAATCTGCATTCGCCGTTTCTTCTTAGTTTCAATCTACTGAGGTGTTCATTGAGGAGACAGTGTCCTGTTAAAAACCCCGTGACAATCCGAAGATTGTTCTTACTCAGACCCAGGAAGATCTGTGATTTTTCTTGATCATAAGCCCTCAGAAACTTCTTCGAGTGTCTTA